CAATCGTTGAATCGTGTTATATGTAAATGTTGCCACAAGTGACAAATATGAATATCGCAATCGTTTTATATTGTAAATGTCGCCACCAAGCAACAAATATGAATACCGCAATTGTTTTATATTGTAAATGACGCCACCAAGCAACAAATATGAATACCGCAATCGTTTTATATTGTAAATGTCGCCACCAAGTGACAAATATGAATACTGCAATCGTTTTATATTGTAAATATCGCCACCAAGTGACAAATATGAATACAGCAATCGTTTTATATTGTAAATGTCGCCACCAAACAACAAATATGAATACCGCAATCGTTTTATATTGTAAATGTCGCCACCAAGCAACAAATATGAATACCGCAATCGTTTTATATTGTAAATGTCAATATGAATACCGCAATCGTTTTGATCGTTTTAGATTGTAAATGTCGCCACCAAGTGACAAATATGAATACCGCGATCGTTGAATCGTTTTATATTGTAAATATCGCCACCAAGTGACAAATATGAATACAGAAATCGTTTTATATTGTAAATATTGCCACCAAGTGACAAATATGAATACCGAAATCGTTTTATTTTGTAAATGTGGCCACCAAGCGACAAATATGAATACCGCAATCGTTTTAGAATGTAAATGTCGCCACCAAGTGAAAAATATGAATACCAAAATCGTTTTATATGGTAAATGACGCCACCAAGCAACAAATATCGATGCCTACTTCGAATGAAATTGCGTTTGATAGTTATATGTATTGCGCTTGAATGTTTTCACACCTTCAAAATTTCTTTCACATCGAATAAGAAACATCGTGAGTGCACGATGCATTGTATTTACTTTACGTGTTGGGATTTCACTAATTCTAGGTAAATACTTTAATGCCAGAACCTATCGAAGTTGTGTTGGTCTTTTTGTTTTTAAATTACCAAAACATGCATGAAATAGTTTGGAGTTATTTCTAGTTTTGTTCGGGTTATTTGACCATCATGATTCAAATCCTAGTTAGCAATAAATCATTAAAATATTGTTCGATGACGCAATAATACTAGATCTCGAAAGAATTGAAGATATAATTAATGAGAAAAGTTATGAATTATTCTATGCTGTGTAGGTCCGTGGCACGAAGATAATCTGCAATTTACACTTTTATAGTTGTGTGGAAAGACGAAAAATGAGTTGTAATGTGGGGGAAATTAGCTGGAAAGTCAAAAATGTTAACCATCATTTCAAAAACCTAAAAAAAAACATTACATACTACATTGCAGCAATGTTGTGTTTTTCGCACAATGAAACTGACGTTTAATAAGCAAGGTGTACTCTGAGAATACCGTCATATTGTTGAACTCCGGTCATGAAGTAGTGATTTGTTTTACTTTAAATTATAGCTGGGTGGCGCCCAAACCATTCTGCGTGAGATGTATACACTCGTTTGAATTCTCAGATAATACAGGTCTGCGAAATAGTTTTCTCTTTGCACAAAGGTGAGTTCTTTTCGTTGGAATTTCTAACGATAGAGAGCAGGAGGTAAGTTTATTACACGATAGTTTTATTCCGAAATTAAGCGCATCGCCACACTTCTAGAACATAAAATAAACGTGCTTCAAGTTCGTATTTAATGGTATTTAGTTTGATTTGTATGGCAATTAAGCTAGTATTAATGTTTTCCACGCCGTATTATTAATTATCAGGAATTTTGATTTCTCTTACGAAGATATTCGGTATGTAAGTGTCCGTAAATTTAATATTTCATTCAAATTTAATTGAAATGTGTGAATCGTATAACTATCGAGTAGTACGGCCTCTACATTGCGCAAAAGATTTAACCAAAGTCGCAGACAATATAAATAGTTTGTTGGTGTTAGAGGGCGCACTTCAAATTTGATTATAATATCTTTTCCACGTTGACGCCGCAGCCTGACAGTTCGAGCAACTGCTTGATCGGGAAACACGATAACCCACTTCCCGATTGGGAATTGTTTCAAAATGAGGCTGCAACCCTTTTGACCTTTAAATGCATTGTGGGTGATTATGAATCGGAACGAGTCTGTGACCCTTAGTATGACCTTCACACATGGCTGAGATGGACACGGAAGTAACAGAAAGGTGAGGCTTTTTTTTTACATCTTCTTCCTATGTGTAATTAATGATTTGGAAAATTATAATTACAGAGTCAAGCGATATTATAGTGTCTGTTACTACATACTAATAAATGCTTCATTTTGCTTGCTGATTTGAACATTCGTCCCATACACACTATTGATGGTTAGGAAGTCAGTGATTTTTGTATCAAACACCCGTCTAATCAAACATGAAACAATGATGATAACAGTAAAGAGACGAGAAATTCATTAGCATCAAATAAATGAGTGAAGCAAGCAACTAAAACGTTTCTTGTATAACTGCTGACGCAAATAAACAGGGTGTCTGAATAAAGTTGGGATGTAACAAAATACATGAAGTTATGTTGACCTTGGTGCTATGAATAATAATGAATTATGGCACAAATAAAAATAAACTGTGAAAAAAGGGTTTTCGTACCAGCCCACGTGCTAATAATTTTATCAATAGTGCCTTGTAACCATTCTAATGGAGTAACTAATTCCTTGTTATTATTATTTATAATTTTCAGTGAACATAATAATCTTGGTAGGAAGAAAACTCATTTTAGAGGACATTTCAAAGATCTTTCCTACATTGAAGATAAAAAATTACGCCAAACCAGTGTATGCAAACGAAGGAAAACTTTATTGAGTGCTGCACATGATCTTCATAGGTTGACTGGTGCAAGTGTGTTTGTTAAAGTAAAGTATGGTGGAATGTCACGATACTATGGATCTAATGATCTGGTATCTGATTTTGAAGGACATGGATTAAAAATAACTAAAGGCGACAGCAGATGTGTTGATGGCACAGTTCCAGTAGTTAAACCTTCCCCTCAGAAAGAGTTTAGGCAATTCATGGAATCATTTTTACCATGCAATACACACATATTAGAAAACGAGGAAGAGTTACCACTGACCAGTCATTACTTGCACATCCACCAGTGAACCCCAATCAATGTCATCTCAACTATCCATCAGTGAACCCTACCTGCATCTCAACTATCCATCAGTGAACCCATACCTACATCTCAACCATTCATCAGTGA